ATTTCCATCACATTAATGGTCATTGTTAAAATTGAGTTTTTCCTTCCCACTGTCACCAAGTGCTTGCTCAATGGGGCTATCTCATTGTTGGGGTTTTCTCTATTATTGGAGGGTCTTGAAGCAACTGACTGTTGAATTGAATTCCATGACTTTTCACTTACAAAGCCCTACAGATATATCAGCAAATACTATGTATTTGTTGATAATAGGGCATCAGCATTTAGAATAACCAATAAATGAAAATTCAAAGTAAAGAAGACACATGTAATTAACAATGTTTTGAGTGCTTATGTTGAATAGTTTGTCCACCAAAGGGCATTCGGTGACTTCCCTGTTTGGCAGCACACGTTTGGAATGCCACAAACCTGCTGATCTGAACAGAGTTGGGCAGAGGCTAGACAAATTTGTGACAACAAAATAAGTTTATTTTTTAAACTTCATTCTCATATTTTTTTCACACAGACTCTTAACTAGCAGCACATAACAAATGTTTTTATGGTTCATGTGTAAAGAGGAAAAAATATCTGCTGATTTATCAAATTTTTAATTGGCAGATATTGATTTTAGTCTTCTATTAGTCAGGGTCTAATTGCATAGACTGTGCAGGATGGATGTGGGTTTAGTGTGTGTGTGAACAACAATGCCAGTGATTTTAAAAAACAAACAAAAAAAAAGGATCTAATTTATATTAAAACTAACAATTAACCAGTTCCTACTGTATAAGCATGCACTTTCCTCAGCTTCTCAGTCAGATCCATCCCTTGGTTGTAATATACAGTTTGAATACACCACAATGCTAATTACGAAACTGGTCAGCTTAACAAGTCACAACAAGACTTTAAATGGGTGACATCATGAAGACAACAGCCAGCTTTGATGTGAAGTGTATGTTCCCATAGCTGTTAGCGTGGCTGCAGTCTTGTTGATATAAAAGCAAAGTTGTTACATTTGTAAAATGTCTTGTTTATGCAAGATGATTAAGAACTTATAGTTTTAGGCTCAAGTCTTCTGATTCCCAAAGTGTTGATGGAGTTTTGTGACTTTATTTATATAAAAAGTGAATTGAAACTGGTGATAGGATGTAGTTAGTTTGTGACAGTTCTCATTAATCTGACCTAAATTTACTTCTCTTGTATTGAAGCTTGTGTCTTTTGCATATGATTAGGTAGAGTGAAGATTTAAGATTGGATGGACCGTGTGTGTGTGTGTGTGTGTGTGTGTGTGTG